GAGGCTTCTTAGGACAAGCATACCACGGGTGACCCCACTCATGACAACAAAAACACTCAAAATTAAACTTTTTAGCATTCGGGGCTTGGCTGAAATTATTGACTCTTGGCATATTGACTCTTGCATTCCTAGGCTGGTATTGATTGGGAATCGAAGGCCTTGGCTGGACATAGTGACTGGACTTATAGGGAGGACTTGACTGAGGAAAACGAGAGGGTTTGTATGGGTTGGAAGGTGACTGAAATTTCGTACCGTAGTAGGGTTGAGGGCGGTTTGGGCTGAAATTTCCTTGCCTCTGGAATTGGTTGCCATATCTTGTGGCTGCTGCAGCACTCCACGCACCTTCGTCACTCCGCTTGTTCCGTGCAAGGTCTCGACTCTGCTGCTCGTTGACAAGGGCCTCAAAGATGAACGCACGACTCTTCATTGACTGCGGGAGCGCTTGTAGTGTTGCACGGAAAGTGTCCCACTCCGGTGTAAGGCCGGTGAGGATGACGGTCTTGAAAAGAGACTCTGGAATCTCCAAGCCGATCGCTGCTGCTTCCTCCAGCATTGCTTCAGCTCATTGTAGGTAGGCTTGTGCTGATTCATCTTCTTCCATCTTCAGATTCATGAAGCGGCTCCACATCTCGGCTTGGCTGCTCTCGGATTTTGACTGGTGCATAGTCTTCAGTCGGCTCCATGCTTCCTCTGCACTGTTTGCCTTGGTAGAACAGGGCAGGAGCGACTTCAACTGCTGCTCGTGAATGCTATTGAGTAGGTAGAGGAAGGCCTCCTTGTTGCGTCGTTCGTAAAGTCGTTTTTCAGCTTCTGAAGCATCTGCTGCTGGTTTGGCTGCTTCTCCAGTGTAGTAAGGCCACAGATCCAGAAGGGATGCAGTGAGCTCAAACTGAGTTGCCCATGTTGGAAAATCTTTGCCGTTGAACTTGGGGAGGTGAAGCTTAGGCATGAAGGAGGTGAGTGGTGAGTATGTTGTTGAAGGACTGCCTGGTGCAACTGCTTCCACTAATCCAGTAGCTGCTGATGTTGACTCTGAAGCTCCTCCGGCTGGCTGGAGTGCAGGACCAGATGGATTGTCTCCCGCCATGTTCGTATGGTGCTAGGATAGGAACGTGGTGGGCTAGGTTGATCGAAACGACAAGCTCTGATACCAACTTGTAAAACAGAGTAGCTGTGACTACTGGAGGGCTGGAAACTTGGCTGGAAAGTCTTAGCAGGGCTGCTGGAATTGACTGGATGAGGTAAAACTTCACTATGTTCAAGATTAACAAGCCCACTAAAGCACAACTCTAGGCATCACAAACAAGACAGATTGAAAGCTCAAACTAGGCTGATAGACAATGTAACTTCCCTGGTAACTTGGGCACAATCTAGATTGGATGGACCTTGAGTGACTTTGAGTGCCACATGAGGTGCATGAATAAGAAAACTCTGGATATTTCTGTTATAGCTGATTCTGATGTGTAGAAACCTGTAGAAACTGCCAACACTTCGGTTTGAAGGCAGCTTTGAACTATATCGAGTCTTCGGCTGAAATCTGATTGGTGGTGGAACTTTCGAAGTACTTCCCGAAACTCTGATTCATCGCCGACATTCCCCCTTGCTGCTGCTTGTGTGCAAAGGGCTGGGGCGGCAGAAACTCGATTCTCCAACAGATACAAGGAGGGTGATGTTCACAAATCTAGATACAAGGAGGGCGAAGTTGTCCCACCAATTCAAATCACGAGAGCGGCATCGCGAGCGGAATTGCTGTTTTCACTCTCACAACCAATCAGGGCAAATCTTTGAAGGTGACAATCCGGGTAGATTTGGGAGCGCATGTTAAAAGTAGTAGGAGTACGGCCTAGGCTTAGTAGCCTAGGCCACAGTAGGACTAGTAACGAGGAGCCAAGTACGAGCTAGGAATGTGTGTGGGAACAGAATTGAGAAGGAATGATTGAACTAGCAAGCAGCAGGATACAAATGGCAAACCCTAAGGGGCTGTACTCACTATAGAGTACCCCACTGCAGGCTACACAAACAACATATTCTGACACACCCCCATAGCCAAAGTGGGGTGTAATCAGCACAATGAGCAGTCATAGCAATAGTTCATAATTATCAGCAAAGCTAGAGGCTATCACAGAGGGCAAGTGAGGAGGAGGAGGGACTATGAAAGGAGAGAAGATGGGAGGCGACGACTGAAGCTGCAGACACACGGGCAACAGAAGCGGCTGACACAGTGGCGGCTGACACAGTGGCTACCGAGACAGAGCGCCCCGGAATACTGGAGTAACTGGCTCTGCGGCTACGACGAGCGGCAGAAGCAACGGACCCACGGGCGACTGGTGCAGCAGGCTCTCAGTGGCTACCGAGACAGTGCGTCCCGGAATACAGGAGTAACAGGCTCTGCGGCTGCGACGAGCGGCAGGAGCAACGGACCCACGGGCAACAGGTGCAGCAGGCTCTCTGAGCTACCAGGACAGTGCGCCCCGGACTACAGGTGCTGCGGACGACAAGACAGCAGCCTCCACTCAACCTCCCCCAAAAGTCCCACACCCCTCTCACACACCCCCTGTTTCACCCCTAGCTCCATTCCCACATCACCCCCTTAGTGCCACTCCCCACGACTCCCACACCTCCACCCCCCTCAGCGGCAGCTGCAGCAGTGGGAGATGAAAAAGGAGGAGGGGAGAACCCACACCTCTCACCCCCATGCTCGCCACCCCACACCCCAACCACCGCGGAACGCACGGTGGAATGGGAGCAATGGGCAGCACGGGGGGGGGGGGGGGGGGGGGGGGGGGGGGGGGACGGGCTTCTGCAGGGGCGGCAGCTGCAGGTGCGGGCTGCTCCAGGGGCGGCTGCTGCAGGTGCGGGCTGCTCCAGGGGCGGCTGCTGCAAGTGTGGGCTGCTCCAGGAGCGGCTGCTGCAGGTGCGGGCTGCTCTAGGGGCGGCTGCTGCACTGGCGGGCGGCTCCAGGGGCGGCTGCTACAGGTGCGGGCGGCTCCAGGGGCTGCTGCTGCAGTGGCGGGCGGCTCCAGGGGCGGCCGCGGGGGGGGGGGGAAAACGCACGACCCCCAGGGCGCCCCGAGGGGCGACGAGAAGGGAGCCGCGCGGCCCCCCCCCGGGGCGCCGCGACGGGCACCAGGGAGGGCGCCGCGACGGGCCCCCAGAGCCACCTCGACGGGCGACGGGGAGGGCGCCGCGCGGGCCCCCCGAAGTCGCCTCGACGGGCGACGGGGAGGGCCGCGCACGGCCCCCGAAGTCGCCACGACGGGCGACGGGGAGGGCGCCGCGCACGGCCCCCGAAGTCGCCTCGACGGGCGACGGGAGGGGACCGCGCGCGGCCCCCGTGGTCGCCACGACGGGCGACTGGTGGGGAGGCCGCGCGGGCCCCCAAGGTCGCCTCGACGGGCGACGGGAGGGGAGGCCGCGCGGGTCCCCGAGGTCGCCTCGACGGGCGACGGGGGGGGAGGCCGCGCGGGTCCCCGAGAGCGCCTCGACGGGCGCTTCGACGGGAGGGGACCGCGGAGGCCCCCCCAAGGGCACCACGACGGGCGCCACGGAAGGGAAAACCGCCAGGCGCCCCGAGCGCGCGGCGGGCAGAAATTAGGGTTTCGCCGCCGCGCACCACGGGGCGCGCGGCGAACAGTACGGCAGCGGAAGCGGGTGGTGGGCCCATACACAGGAAGGCGGCAGACATGCCGCCCTCTGATACCATGTTAAAAGTAGTAGGAGTACGGCCTAGGCTTAGTAGCCTAGGCCACAGTAGGACTAGTAACGAGGAGCCAAGTACGAGCTAGGAATGTGTGTGGGAACAGAATTGAGAAGGAATGATTGAACTAGCAAGCAGCAGGATACAAATGGCAAACCCTAAGGGGCTGTACTCACTATAGAGTACCCCACTGCAGGCTACACAAACAACATATTCTGACAGCGCACTCTGCAATTGCAGGTTGAGAGGATTCGAACTCGCCATCTCAGTTTGGTATATATTTTTACGTGGCTGGGGCAGGGTTCGGGCGTTTTCGGAGCAGCCCAAATCGCTTTTTGCAAAGTTAAATATAGTTCCTGTTTTCTCAGGTTGGAAAAAGAACTCTGCTGCACCAGTGTTGGCAACAACAACGGCTAAGTCCAGGACATGCCAAGTTTTGGCAAAGTCACTAAATCCACTGCTTCAAAGAGTACATCGACGTTTTACTCGGTTTGGTATACTGCGCCGCCGATTTTACCCTACCTGGGCCGCGTGGCGCGCGCGAGTCACTCTGTTTTGTCCGGGTGCCCCAAAACGGAAAATAGACCTACAACCACAAGCAATAAATCCAACATGGTCCTCGATATTTCCACTACCGCCAAATATATTTTCACTGTAGATGTGTAGTGCTAGCACTCAGCCGGGTTTTCACCTTAGCAGGGGCAGGTACCTGGACCCCTCCGCTTTCAGGGAACGGGCAGCGCTTTCTGCGCTGCATGATGAAATTCATGACGGTGGGTGCACTATTTTGAAATAATTATAGTGCACCCGGGTGTTCTATTTAGGGATAGTTCTAAGTACATGAGTTGTTACAATGTATCTCACAAATGCAATGGGGTCAAGATAGCATACAACGGGCTTGACACACGTGGTTGTCGGGGGTTGCGTTTTTAGAGGATCGATACGTGACACCAGTGGCTCTGATTGATGTCATGTGCACGACGGGAGTGGTGATTTTGACAGGGCATGCTCTATTCCATCGAAAGATGTATAATTTACTAGTGCAGACGAGGCTGCGCCTGCCCGGTTCATTTTGTATGTTCCGCAAATGCTTTCGCGATTTTGTCTGACATAAACCCATACCGTAGAATGCCGGCCATAGGACCCGCAGGTAAAAGGGTCCCCCGAGACTCTTGAATGGGTAGGGTAGGGGGACTCTTATTGTGGCAGGTTTTGTGAAGACCCCCCTTTTGCCCCTAATCATTATAAGACCCCCTTCTTCCCTTAAGGGCCCCTTTTAATCTGGCGAAGTTAATTGTTATACCTAGTTACACATTTCAGCACCACTTGGTGCACGGCAACTAGAAATTAGAGGGTCAAGGGGCCTGAACCATTGAGCACTACTGCAGGGGACCATACACCTCTACCACCCCCATACTTCTCAGTCCTCGTCCTCGTCCTCCTCCAGCCCACCCTCCTCCTCTTCCTCCTCCTCCGCCACTCCCTCCTACTCCTCCTCCTCCTCCTACTCCTCCTCCTCCTCCTCCTCCTCCTCCTCCTCCTCCTCCTCCTCCTCCTCCTCCTCCTCCTCCTCCTCCTCCTCCTCCTCCTCCTCCACAGGCAGGTCCCGGCATCCTCAGCATCCGCTGCCATAGCCGCCTTTTCGTCCTCTTCGACTGTGGCGAACAGGGGGTTAACCCACTCCTCCACCTCAGGGGCGACCTGCACGTCTTGTGCCACCTCAACCTCGCCCGCATCGCGCATGTGGGCAAGGATGAGGTGATCCCGCTTCCCATCAACGAAGTTGCTGATGCTGGTGGTGAGGAACGCTTTCTCAATGATGAAGTCACGGCTGGCCGCCCAAGCGGCCGGAATCCACTCGAGGACCGTCTCCGCAGGGGGCTTCTTCAGATTTCCTGCGGGTCATACGGGAGAGAGAGTACACGGGGAAGCACACGGAGCAGTGAGTACACGGGGAAGCACACGGAGCAGAGAGTACACGGGGAAGCACACGAGCAGAGAGTACAGGGGGAAGCACACAGAGCAAAGAGTACGCTAACGCACCCGCTTTCGTGAAGGTGTTGACGCCGAACTCGGCGAACCAATCGTTGTACAGCTGCCGCAGCACCGCCTTGAATGAGCGATTGACGATAAACCCTGGGGATTATGGCCGGGATAACCCGGTTCCACCTCATGTTGGCGAGCACTCCGTTGGCGAGGTGGCCCCGGTACGAGTCCAGGACCAGAAGGGTCTTGGACCGCTTGATGCCACGAGGCGGCTTTATGAACGGCAGCAACAGGTTGTTCACCCAGTCATCCACGAGCTTGGCGTCCATCCAGCCCTTCTCTTGTGCACGGATGACGACTCCTGCAAAGCATCAACACATTTGGTTAGAAATGCGCGTCAAACCATGAGTAAAACGGCGGCAACAAGGATTGCAACTCACCGTGAGGGACGCGAATGTTCGGGATCGTTTTGCGCTTAAAGATCACCATAGCAGGGAGTTTGCGGCCGTCCGCAATTATTTTGAGCATGACAGCCACCCTCTCCTTCTCGTAGACCGCGCTCCTGACGTGCACCGTCTTCTCACCGCGGTGATGAAGGGTGCGCTCATTCGGCATCTCCACGAAAACCGGCGGTTGGTCGGCGTTTATAATGTTCCAATTGTCGATGCCGCGCTTGATGACGTTCTTCCTCACGAACCTCCCAAAAGTTCTCGCCCTTAGCCTTCCACTCTGCCACGAACGAATACATCAAGTGGGTTGAGCGTGAGGGACGGCGGATGTATTCAAGGCATACTATCACATGGCGCGACGTGAAGTTGAGAAGCTTAAACCGGCCGCGAAACAGACGAGTAACTCACCTTTCGAAAGCCTCTGGCCCATCTTCGTCTTCACACAGAGGGAGAGGCCGAGGCGCGCACGGAAGCGGAAGGTCCACCTGTTGCTCGCCATCCACCTCACGTCCGGGTAGTGGGCCTTCATGAAGGTTCGGCTCCAATGCTAGATGAGGCAGATAGGGACGGGCAAGCCACGGCCGCGGAAGTTGAGGAGCCACTTGTAGACATTCGCCTCCATGTCCAAATACTTCGCCTTCCGCCCTCCCCCCACTGAGGCGCCTCCTGGACGGTGCCACTTTCTTAATCCGCTCCGCCACCCTGAGCCATCGGCGGACGCTCACTGGCTGCACCCCCGCCAGACGTGCGGTGTGGCGGACTGAGAGTTTCTCCTCCTCCATCCGCGCCAGCCACTGTTGTTTCTCTCCCATCGTTCGCGCTGTGCGACGGTGAGTAGTCTTGCGTGCGGGGGGGCTCTATGGCGCACTGTCAGCCCTGGATTGTGGCCTGTTTTTGTTGTACACGAGATCTGCCGGAAACGTCAGGACCGGGAAATCCCCGATGTCGTCGTCCATGTCCTCATTACGCGCGTTCTCGCCGTCCTCGGCGACGGGTTCGGGAAACCCCTCCTCATCTACCGGTTCGAACGGAGGTGTTGTACGCCAGTGGACGAAGGGTTGGGGAAGCACAGGGGGCGCAGGAGGCGCAGGTGGAGCCGGGGGTGCCGGAGGTGCAGGAGGTGCAGGTGGAGCCGGTGGTGACGGGCTTGTAATAAGCACAACTGTTGGCTGGCCAGACAAACTGCCCAAACTTGAACGGCGCGAACGCCATGGGATTTCGAAAGCCGACATGGCTAGGAGCTGCTACGGTTCTAATGGCCACTGCTTGCTAGAGTGGCATGCGCCATAGAGAGGCATTAGGAAGCTAGCGTGGCAGATCTGGATCTGAAGCAGAAGGTGTGAGAGTACGACGGCTTTGCTGGACTTTACTTGCTTGATTCTGCTTTATTATTCATTATCTAGCTTAGCTTTATTTCATCTTGCATGCTTTTGCTTGATTTCCTAGGTTCGTTGCTTCTACTTTTGTTATTATAGCTATAGGCACCGAACTAGGTTGAGTGCACCGAATTCTAGGCTTTTCGGTTGCCACCGAATTGCCTTCTACCGAATTCGGGAAGGACCCATTCGGGACGCTTCGCGACCCGCGGAACCTTCTAGTAACACCCGGGTTACTGCCTTTGTGTCGAGCCTAAATATAGCCTCGCCTTGTACCCAGGTGAATCATTCAATATAATCATCTTTCCTGAACTAGATCCTCACACTTGGTAATCAGAGCGGGTTTACACGCGAGGTCTTCAACCGCTTAAAACCGGCCTTTAAAAACCGCGGGGGCGACGACGGAAGCGCCGATACGGGTATGTAAAACCAGTTCCGCGCAATTTTTCTAAGTCTTCCTCGATTCGGTTTTCGAACACCCCTCAGATTTACTGGTGAAAAGGTTGGAGTTTCGACCGTTCGATCGAGTTTCATCTCAACGGCCCAGAGACTTTCGCCCAAAAAAGTTGGAATTTGGAGCGTCAGATCGAGTTTTTTCTCAACGGCCGAGATCGAACGTGAATTTCGACTAAGGGAGATTTACGCGACCTACAAAATTTGCGCTCGTCGATTCTACAGTCAACTCGACTCGCAATACATGCGGCGCTCCCACGACTCGAAAAACTCCTTGCGAACCAGTTGGCAACCGCCACAGCAGCAGCAGTGCAGCAGCGACAATAGTCACAGCAGCAGCAGCAGCGGCGACACCGACAATTCTACCTGCGACAACGGCAGCAGCTACAGTTAACCTCGAAGCAGTGAAGCCGAGGCTACCGGAGGCGTTCGATCCTACTGTTAAAGGGAACGACGTTCGTCGATTTGTAGCTGAACTCGAAATTTACTTCGAAGCCGTTGGATGCACGACCCCGACAAAAGACGCAATGCGCATATGGCTCGCAGCAACACTGTTACGAGGCCCAGCTCTAGAGTGGATCAACAACAGTATTGTCCAAGGCGAAGGGACGTGGGCGCAGTTTCGGGCAGCACTGATCGAACAATTCGACACGTTGAACAGTAGCTACTACGGAACACGACGCAACAAGCCACGTAGTGGCATGGGGCGATTGGCACCACCCACGAATGCCGACCCGATGGAGAACGACAAGGGCGATGTGGAGCAGCGGCTAGCAAAAAATGAGACGTGCGAATTTTGCGGCGCTACAGGACATCGTTTCTTGGCGTGTTGGAAAATGGAGAAAGCACGTGCGGAGCTGAGGGACAAGAACAGTGTGGCACCCCCGAAGCAGAAAACGGACAACGTGGCAACTTCGGAGAGGGCGAAAAAAGGAGAATATGGTGGCGCAATTTTAAAACGTCACGACCAGCCGGCACCAGGGGAAATCGCCGAGACTAAAGGAGGATCTTCGAAACAAGACCCTGCACCGACCGGGAAACTCCAGACGTACACCCCGACAAGTAAGAATATTACTTCTCGTGGGTGTCAAGCCTTTATTAAGGGAGAGTCAGAAATTAAACCGGTACCGGGTAATATGGGGGCCCTACTCCAGAGCGCTAATACGGGTCGAGCGTTCCGAGGAGTTAAGGGCGTATCCAACTTCGGGTCATCGGCACTGTTTGGGTCATCCGAGATTCTTGGAAGACCAATCAGGCGCATTTTAGGTACACTACTCGAATACCATTGGTCCTCCCATGACCCAAAGTGTACTGATGACCCAAACAGTGCCTTATGACCCGAAGTTGGATACGCCCTAATATTCTCTCCCAGCAGCACTGTTTAAAGGCTCCCTGTTCCCCACAGATGAAGCCTACACAGCTGCAAAGGTTTAGGGGAAGGTTACAGGCCCAAGAGAAGCTGAATCGGCCTCGGATAAATCCTTCTAACATTTATCAGTTGAAAACTGACATTGAAGCTGCATCTTCGAGTGCAGGACCTAGGAATGACATATTCGACGTACCCTACGATTCTATAAGCGATACCATCTACGGCTACTCGGAGCAGCAGCGGCCACTACTCCTCGAGGTGATTTGCAACGGGCGACGCCTCCAGGCCCTGGTGGACAGTGGTGCGTCCCACTCGGTGTGCGACCGCGGGACGTTGGAGAAAATTGGAGAGTCATCGGAAGAGACCCAGTTTACAGCAACGATGGTGGACGGTACGAAGCTTCCCATCCACGACGAGTCAACACTACAGCTGCAGATAGGGGCGTTGAGGTGGAAGCCGACGTTGCCGATCACGAACATCAAGGGATTGGATTTCATATTGGGGCGTGATTTTCTGAAGCGGTTCAACCCCGAGATCGATTGGATCAACTGGAAGGCGTGCATCTACAACAACGGGAAACGAGTTGAGCTGCGAAGCTGGACGGATACAGGGAGCGTTCCTGAAACGACACTGGCACGGTTCGAACGGACGGTGAACGAGAGTAACACGGGTTACTTAGCACTGGTTATGGCAGCAACAGAGGAGGAGAAGCCGAATACCGAGCTACCTGCAGCAGTTAAGGAGGTCTTGGAGCAGTACAAAGACATCATGCCAGATGACCTACCTGGAGGAGTACCTCCAGCACGCACCCACGAGCACGAGATCATGGAGGAACCAAGAGCGAAACCCCTCCTAACATGGAAAGATCCTGAGAATGTGAAGGAGTTGCATACGCCCTACAAATGGGATACTCCTCATCAGCAAGCCATGGAGCAGCTACAGACAGCACTGACAACAGCGCCAGTACTCATCTTACCGGACCCAAACAA